GTTGGTTAAGTCTTATTGTTCTTGTTTAACAAAGGTTAGTGACATCATTTTGCAGCACATCACGACCAAAGAAGTCAATGGCACACTCTTTTGAACGTGAATAGGCATGTTATAGTTGTGTGCTAAAAGTCCATTATAAGCTGTAAACTGCTGATACATTTTCAACATAGATTGAGCTTTTCAGACATTACATTACTAATTGCTTCACAAACAGCTGAAATTGTTTATTTTTATTGGCTATCATCATCAAACATTTTTCACAATGGTAGGTTAATCTTCATGGGTACAGAATAATGCATGTGCTTGACCATCTTACAAATCTATGTCTCAGATTCATAAGGCTGTCACTCTGCATGAATCTCCGAATAAATCTTGTGCAACCTTCTGTGTACTGATTATTTACACTATAGGTATTATATGCATTAATTAACTTTGATAGTATTTCAGGGTTTGAACTTTTCTTTACGGGAGGTTAACAACAATGTGATGTTTTATTATAGATGCATATGAGGAAGTTCGACTCAAACATCCACACGCAACTGTGATTTCTGACTAGTAGACAGATGAGGATGATGATCGCCTGTCATACATCTAAAGACAGAACAGGTTTGTTTGCAATTATTTTAAACACATACTGTCAACATTATGTCATTGATCTATTACAACCTGTGAGTTTTGCCCTGGCACTATACTAAAGTGATGTTTTGTTTTGTAAATGTATCTGATTAAGGGACAGTATAGACACATCTATACCGTGATGAAGAAAAATGACTTGGAACAAAGAGGCTGGATAAAAGGCAGGTATGAAGATTTCAGAAATCAATGCAGCACCACAAGTCACATCACCATCAATGACTATGGCAGAAATCTTAAGACCACCATCAAGATGCACAGATACTGTACATTCCAGTACACCAGGCGTGTCCAAACTACGGCCTGCGGGCCATCTGCGGCCCGCGAGGCTTTTTATAAATATCAATAGAATCTGGCCCGCTATACAAAAATGAACGTAATTCAATAAATAACCACCGGGTGTCGCTATTACATGCATTCAATTAAGCAGCAGTTCTTGTTATGATCTATCTATCTATCTATCTATCTATCTATCTATCTATCTATCTATCTATCTATCTATCTATCTATCTATCTATCTATCTGTCTGTCTGTCTGTCTGTCTGTCTGTCTGTCTGTCTGTCTATCTACACACAGTTGAAGTCTGAATTATTAGCCCCTCATTGATTTATTTCTTCTTTTTTAAATATTTCCCAAATGATGTTTAACAGAGCAAGAACATTTTTACAGTATGTCTGATAATATTTTTTCTTTTGGAGAAAGACTTATGTTTTATTTCGGCTAGAATAAAAAGCGGTTTAATTTTTTTTATGAACCATTTTAAGGTCAAAATTATTAGCCCCTTAAGTCTTCAGAACAAACCATTGTTATAAAATAACTTGCCTAATTACTTTAACTTGACTAGTTAACTTGATTAACCTAGTTAAGCCTTTAAATATCACTTTAAGCTGTATAGAAGTGTCTTAAAAATATCTAGTCAAATATTATTTACTGTCATCATGGCAAAGATAAAATAAATCAGTTATTAGAAATGAGTTTCTAAAACTAATATGTTTAGAAATGTGTGGAAAAAATGTTTAACTCTCCGTTAAACAGAAATTGGGGAAAAAATAAACGGTGGCTAATAATTTAGGGGGGCTAACAATTCTGACTTCAACTGTATATATATATCATGTCATATATATATATCATGTATATATATATCATGTCATATCAGACATATATATATGTCTGTGTGATGTATGTAAAATTTGGCCCGCGACAACGTTTGTTTTTTTGCATCTGGCCCTCGGCCCAAAAAGTTTGGACACTCCTGCAGTACACCTATGAACATTTACAGTCTTTGTTCTAGTGCAGTTTGAGATCAAGACAGAACTTATTGCATCTCGTGATGTCTTTGTAAGACATCACTAAATTTGTTAAGGTTTAATGCAGCTAGAAAGTAAAGATCAACTAGAGAATATCAGCAGTGTCTAACCCACTGTTGTATTTACAGAAGTTTTATGAGAATCAGCTACAGGTTGATTTATACTAATCTGTTATTTTTTTTTTTTAGCACGACTGACTGAAGTTTTAAAATCATGCAACGTCATAAAGCAGCAGCTGGGCCTGATTCTCACAAAACCAAAACAGACGTGATGAAATTCCAGATGTAAACACATTTGACCTTCCTTTGGCCAATTGGATTTGGAAAAGCTTGAAAATCAACTAAAGGAGCAGCCCGAACAAATGAAGAAACTGGTAAGTTCAAGCTCTTGCTAATTTCAAAGTGTTTTAAGTTTATTTGTTTATTTTATAGTTTTTTTTTTTGCTTCGTAGGTAGCCTACTTTTTTCCTAATTTTTTCTTTTTTTTTACATTAGTACTTGTTCACTACTAATTATCTGTTTATCTTTTAATCACAGATGGAGTGAGGACAAATGTCCATACCACGCCACTGATAAAGAAGTGGAAAAATGCATTACAAGGTAGCTACAACTTGCCCCTGACAGGGATGGAGGAAGAAAGAAGAGAAAGCTAATGTGTCAAATGTCTACATCACTATTTTGTTTTATTTTTTAAACAACATTTTAAGTGTATTAGGATGTTCCCTGATACTTGAACAATTTGTTTCTTTCATTTGCATTTATATATATATATATATATATATGTATATGTATATATATATATATGTGTGTGTATATATGTATGGTATGTATGTATGTATGTGTGTGCGCCAAATTGTAAAGAAACATCTTGATACATTTTTAATAAACGTAATACAAATAAAATTATAAATATAAAATTGCACAAGACGTGTAAATATATGAAATTTATAATCATCTCACTCATGTCTTGCTGTTTGTGCAATTGATTTTGTTCTGCAATTATTTATATATATATATATATATATATATATATATATATATATATATATATATATATATATATTTGTTTGTTTATTATTATTTTAATGTTTTATTAAAAAATGTTTCAAGATGTTTCTTCAGAATTCTGCAGTACTTTTTACAAGTTTGACTTGTATATTTTACGGATTGTCATTGGTATTTTTAAGATGTTTCTCGCTATATCTTAAATTGGTTTCTATATTTAGGTTTATATAAAATTTAGCTGTTTTTTACAAATTTTTAATTCAAGTCTATTGGGAAAACAGGGTTGTTTTAAAAACATCTGTTTGTGTGTAATTTTTAGATTTTTTGTTTAAATCTTTCTGTGTGTCTTTATTGTGTTGTTTTATTGTTGTTTTTATATTGATATTCTTGTGCACTACAAAATTATTTATAAAATTTTAGTACTATTATTTTTTCATGCAATCAATAAACGTTTACCATTTATTTATTTTGTCATTTGTCTTGATTATTTTCGTTACAGAATATGTATGCAGTTTGCACTTTATTCAAAGGTTAAACGCAGTGCTTACACTTTGTGTTTACATTATAGCCTGTGTTTGCTGTTATATAAATTCAAATGGTTGTAATACCATATATCAAGTACCAATGTAATACCAAAAGGTTTTATAAGGTGTATAAATACGGAGTCGCGCCAGCTCCGGGCCGCAGCGCACATTACCCTCGCGCCGATTCCGGCGCGGATGCGCAGCGTCGGCTCGCTTACGGCCGCCGCATCTGGCCCGCTTGATTCGGGCCGGAATCGGGCAGTGAGTCCACAGGCATCCGGCCCGAGTCCGGCAGCCGAAGTTGGGCCGAGGGGTTAGTCTCCGGCAGGCGACAATCTAGCCGGAACTGGCCCGAGTATATTTTGCTATCTGGGGTGTGTGTGTGTGTGTGTGTGTGCGCGCGTGCGTGCGTGTGTGTATTTGAAAAAAGGTGATTCATTTAGATCAACTGTGGTGATCAACTCTTTTTCTATTCAGTGTATCTGCATAAAACACAATAAATTACAAGTAGATATAAATGACAGAGTAAAAATAAAAGATTAAAAAGCAGCAATAATATTAATAATATCTTTATATTCTAATATTCAATAAATAATCTAATCTTGTGTTGTGACTAATATTGCAGTTACACACATTGCGATATCGATGCTCAAGTGATATATTGTTCAGCTATCATGGAAATACACACTGTCTAAAAATAGTTCATACAGCAGACTTCCGGGGGGAAAATAATCTTTAGGTTAGCTGGATTTATAGGCTAGTTTCTAGCAGCAGGTGGCGCTCTAGGCTAGTTTTTTTTTAACCTGGGGAATTAGAGTCTAATATAGAGGAACGATCATGATCAGTCATTTTCTACACACACAGACACACAAAAACTTGAATATAATTTGCTTTAAAGGAACTTTTATAAGGGCTTTTAACACAGTTGTGTGCCAGCAGTGTGTGAATATATGCAGTCTCTAAAGGTAAACATGAATTCATTGTATTTTCATAATGAGACTTGATAAACAAACAGTCTGCAGAAACACTTTGCTTGACATTCTCTCTTTGTACATGTCATCAGATTCATTTCTCTAGATATATATTATTATTTCTTATACATTAATTTATTATTTCAAATGACTAAAATGTCAGTAAAAGTCTCTTTGTTGTAGAGCTGAATTTTCAACATCAGAAGTGGACAGAGCAGAGATCAACATCCCCTAATACAACCTCCCATAATGATACAGAAACTGAAGATCATTACCAGATATTATTTACAGCGTATCAGACAGATTCATACCTGCAGTTGTGTAAACACACACACAGTTACCTGCAGGGTTGGGGATGTTTTCCTCTAGGTTGATGAGGGCAGTGCAGGGCTCGGTGTTACCCAGCTCAATCCAGTTACTGTGACTGTAGAAATCCTGTCATTTACACACACATTAGTTCAGAGCTGATGTTCAGATCGTCCATGTGCACATTTTGTAAATACTTTATTTAAGATTTTTCACATTTTAAAGAACAAACCCAGACCATGACAGATAATAATGATAAATAGACATACATCTATATGTTATGTCATCTATTATAGACTTTTGTATTATACTTATATATGAGCAATATCAGTTATATATATGAGCAATATCACACGAGTGGCAGTGTGCTATGGCTGTATATCAGCACTTGTGCGTTGTATATCAGCACGAGGCCGTAGCGCCCCACCAGTGCTGATATACAGCCGTAGCACACTGCTACGACTGTGATTTTGCGTTTATACAACAGTTCGACGCAGGCCCAGATTGGCTAATCGGGAGGACCAGGAGAATTCCCGGTGGGCCAGTCCGTTTTTTGGGCGCGAGGGCCGGTATCCCTAGCTCCAGAATCTGTTGCTCTCAGCAGTCACACTTTTTAAATGTATTTATTTATTTACTTGACCACAGTCTTTTTATTCATTATTTTTCCGCAGTTCTGCTCTTTTTATCCATCATTGAGGCACCAATCAATGAACAGCTGTTCTGGTTCAGTGGATAGCATGTTAGTTAACGACATAGTAGACCCGGGCTCGATCCTTGTCTGAGTAATTTATTTTTTTCATTTTTATTGTTAAGACATATAATACTGTTAGGGTTGTTGAACATTTGAAGTTATAAAGCAGCTGTTTTCTCAAAAAAAGACGTGATAGTGTCATTAGAAACTGATTAGGAAATGACCTTATTTTAATATTGTCAGTCGTGAACTGAGGTGGGCCGGTCTGAGGCTTAAAACTCCAGGGCTGAAAAGGGGTCCCACTCCGGCCCTGGTTCGACGGCACAATCTTGTACATAAAAAAGAAAATCAAACACAGAGAGTCTAAAACCCTTTTGTGTTAGGAACTACTTTCTTCCGCCATTCATTCACATCTGCAGCTGACGTCAGGACAGCAGAAGCCGTTACTAATTCACCAATGTCACTTTAGAGCTAGTGTTTGAATGATTCTCTATAGCGTAATGTGAAGCGGCGCTTCTAATGTGTGACCCTCTTAAGGTGATGACAAAACAGCAAATTTTGCTCATATTTTAAGATTATAAGGCTGAACGCGACATGAAATGCTATCCAGAGATTACCCACCAGACTGCTGTTGTGTTTGCGATACGGAGGGACGAGGCTGAATCCAGCTTCTTATTCGCAGCTTCTTATTGACTCTATCCGGTCCACCTTAAAACCACGAGACTTCCGTTTTTCAGCTTTTTAATTTGTGTTTAAGAGAACACACTGAGCAAGGGCTTATTATGCGGTTCTGGCATAATCCTTCTTGTGGATAGACAACGTCAACCGTCTTTGGCCATCGAGGAGCTCTCAGAAATTGTAAATATTTTAAAATAGGCACTATTCTTACAAATAAACTGCAAAGTTGCAATCTAAACAACCACATTCACGATTAAAAAAAGCCTCAAAGTACATTTTGTTGTGTAACAGCAGTAATATTTGTCAAACTGTAGTGTCTGCTTGTTGCTGGCTGTATGTGCGCGGAGTAATACACAAAGGGTAAAGAGGCTGTACGGATGCTGATATTACTTAAATATATCACAGTTATCAGCCAATCAGATTCGAGATCCAGACAGAACTGTTGTATAAATTTATATATTTAATATTTATAATATACTTTAAAGCTGCTTAGACACCATTTACATTGTTAAAGCACTATATAAAAGCATGAATATACAGTACATATAATAAACAAACACACATATTAAAGTCAAATAAACAGTGATTTATCTTTTCTAATGTCTCTGCACTCTCAGAATTAAATGTGCGCGAACTGTCAGTGGGGTGGTTCCTTTTCAAAAGGTACACATTTGTACCTAAAAGGTCCATATTAATACCTTAAGCGTACATACTAGTACCTAAATAGTACAAAAGTGTTCCTCTTAAAATGTTTAGGTACTAATATATACTTTTGAGGTACCAAAATGGACCCTTTAAGAACAAATGTTTACCTTCTGAAAAGGTACCACCCTAGTGAACGCTCATGTACCTTTATTTCTGACACTTTCTCATCAAATCTTCTGACCAATCAAATGCTCTCTAGTGTCTGACATGCCCCGCCCCCTTCTTCTCATTTGCTTTTCATTTGATGCGTTTGAGCTCAACCACTCTCACTGGCAGAGCTGTGATAAAAGCAACACACTATTGGCTGTTTTTAAAGGGGAGGAGCTACTCTATGCCCCGCCCGCTCTTCATGTCTAATAAAAGCATGCACATTTCAAAGCACTAACGGGATCTTTAAGTGTTCCTCCACTCACCTGTAGAGTGTGCATGATCTCCCCGAGAGTCTTTCGTGCATCTTCAAACTTCTGCTGATTCAGCAGCTCTGTGATCTTCTCCATTCCCTTGATGATCAGGTTTTTCCCGTCCAGAAAGCTCTCGCTGTGGAAGTGATACTTTGCGACGAGCAGATATTTGACGTCTATGTTCACATTATGGCTGATGATCATCTTTATACCCGCTTCAAAGTTGCTTTTAAAGGCGTCTTTTTTGCAGGCCATCGCGAGCGTCTTTGGGTTCAGTTGTTTCGGCTGCATAAACACACACACACACACACACACACACACACACACACACACACACACACACACACACACACACACACACACACACACAAGCAAAATGTTTGATCAGTGAATGTCAGGATTCTGCCACTTCGGTCTTGTTGATTGTTTTGCTGGCAGAGTCCAGACTCTAGTCCTGTCTTGTCTAGTATGTTGTACTCGGCTCGAGTTTTCGCAGGTTGAGCACTCGCATCGTCTGTCTTCGTCTTTGTATGAGAGCCAACTTTCATAGCTTCGTCAGCATGTCATACGTAGTTTATTCGAATCATGTCCTGCCCAGCCAAGTTTGTTCTTTGTGAATGTTTTCCCCCTCAGGGTTGCTTTTGTTGCCTTTTTGCTTTATTTTATAATTAATGAACCCATCTAACTTGCTGCACTTGAGTCCTCGCTCCTTTTTCCACCCTACAGCTGTGACAGTAATTTTTTAATTAAATTTAAAGCCGCCGGTCCGTTTTTTGGCCACGAGGGCCGGTGTCCCTAGCTGCTTGCACTCTCAGCAGTCGCACTTTTTTCATTTATTTATTTATTTGACCACAACCTCACTCTTTTTATTCATTATTTTACCTTCGCTCTTTATATTTATTTTCTCACAGCCTCGTGAGCAAAATGCAGCCTGCAGGTACTTGACGTTATTTCTTTAACCCAACCCTGCTGAAAAATCCAGCTAAAACCAGCCAACCAGCTTAGGCAGGTTTAAGCTGGATTTTTTAGCAGGGAATGGTTGAGTTAAACATATTTGGTGCTTTGTTGGGTTATTTTTAACGTTTATTAAATTATTTAATAAAAACTCAACCAGTTGGGTTAAATATTTGGTGCTTTGTTGGGTAATTTTTAACCTTTATTTGGTTATTTATTTAATAACTCAACCAGTTGGGTCAAAAATTTTGAATTTCAACTGTCAACTGATTTAACTGACTCAGAACAGCTGCATATATACATTCTAAAAAATGTTGAGTTATTTCTTTAACCCGGTTGAGTTAAACATGCTTGGTGCTTTGTTGGGTTATTTTTTGTCATGTTCACCAGTGATCCTTCCTGACAGATCGCTGGTGAACTACAAATGTCATGTTTAGGAACTACAAGTCCTATCAGGCCATGCCAAACACCAGCTGCTCATCAAGGCTGATGAGACACAGCTGAGACTTGTGATGACTGATCATTCAGACTATTTATACACCACACATACACCAGTTTAGTGAGGAGTCTCTGATGTTGATGTACGTACGTTGCATGTCCTAGCTTCTTGTTGTTTTGCCTGTTTCTTGACTTAAGCCTTATTTATTGTTTGATTCCTGTTTGCCATCTATTTTGACCTCATGCCAGTTTTTTGACTACATTTTTGGATTGTCCTTTTTGTATCAGCCACTTCTGTTTGTCCCTGTTTTGCTTAAATATAATCTTATTTTATCTGCACTTGGATCTTCGTCTCTGTTCCTTGCTTTGATCCCCTCACGTGACAATTTTTAACATTTATTATATTATTTAATAACCACTCAACTAGTTTTGTTAAATATTTGATGCTTTATTGGGTAATTATTAACCTTTATTTTGTTATTTATTTAATTACTAATTTAATAAAAAAATTTGAATTTCAACAGTCAACTAATTTAACTGAAACAGAACAGCTGCGTTAATATGCGTACAAATGTTGTTTTTGCGTTGTAAAGTTTATTTGAGCTCTAACATAATAATATTGTTGGTAATTTTTTTTTTTAATCAAATTACCTCTGTCGTGTTTTTTCTATTCGTTTCACCAGCACTCTTAATTATTGATGACACAAATGTGCGCTTCATAGCCGATAAAACGCTTTCTCTACCTCCTGTGTTCATCTCTACAGTTTTTTTGGGAGAAAATGATACACATATTTGGGATATTCGGCTAGTCATTCTGGCCTTTAGGACCCAGCGGAGACATTCATTAATGTATTCAGCCATAATTCAAAAATAATAGTAGTACTTCTATAGTAATACCAGAATGGAAAAAAAAATAACATTTAATCAAAATAACCCATAGTTGGAAAGGTGCTATGATGACCTATAGTTGGGTTAATTGTTGGGGTATTTAAAAAAATATAAACAAAATAAATATAAAAATATTTTATCATTTTATATAAAAATTTTTTTTTTTTTATAAAAAAATACCAACAACATTATTGTTTTAGAGCTTAAATAAATTTACAGAGCTAAAACAATATTTGTACTCCTAATTAATGCAGCTGTTTTGTGTCAGTTAAATCAGTTGACTGTTGAAATTCAAAATTTTAACCCAACTGGTTGAGTTATAAAATAAATAACCAAATAAAGGTTAAAAATAACCCAACAAAGCATCAAATATGTTTAACTCAACGTTTTTTTAGAGTGTATATATATATATATATATATATATATATATATATATATATATATATAACTCAACGTTTTTTTAGAGTGTGTGTGTGTATATATGTATATATATATATATATATATATTTTTTTTTTTTTTATATATATATATATATATATATAAACTGACTTCAACAAACCCCAACTGCTCTGTTAAAATAGTTGTTAAAATGGTTTTAAAAAATTTAAAAACTGCTTTCATTCTAGCCGAAATAAAACAAATAAGACTTTCTCTAGAAGAAAAAATATTATCAGACATACTGTGAACATTTCCTGAATCTGTTAAACATAATTTGGGAAATATTTAAAACAGAAAAAAATTCAAAGGGGGCTAATAATTCTGATTTCAACTGTATATATTATTTATTTATTTATTTATTTATTTATTTATTTATTTATTCATTTATTCATTTATTCATTCATTCATTTTTATGCTTTGCATTTTAGTATGTGCCATTCATTTTCTATATATGGTACCCATTTGGGGGCAAGAGATAAAGACTTTTGACATTGATAATAGTTTTAACGTGTAATAGTTTACACGGCTAAATTGTCTGGGTTGGTGTTGTATATTACACTAAAGAAATAATAAACTTAATTCTCTAAATAGTATTTCTTATTCATTTTATTATTATTTCAAACTCCTAAAATGTCACTTAAAGTCACTTTGTTAAACTGTAGAGTTGAATCAACACCAAAAGTCAACACAGCAGAGATCAACATCCCATAATGCAATTCACCACCACAAATAACACTATTAACAAACAGATTATAATGTTTGTACAGTGCATACATTCTCACCGATTCAAAGCTTTCATCAATGTTCTTGCAGATGTTGGCGGTGGCGCGCAGGATGGCCATGCTCGTGATGTCCTGATGGTTTTTAGAGTTTGGTTTTTGCTTTACATCAAAGCTGTGAGCCCCGATCAGGAGAGCCAGCAGGAGGAACGCTCGGCTCATTCTCAGACGATTATCAAGATCTGCAGGTCTCCTACAGTGCGCTGGGTCATTTATACCGAGTCGTTTTAATTCATATGAGGTACATTTGCAATGCCATCTTAAAATATGGGCATTTGCATAGATGTGGCGCCATAATTGCTCAAGGGAGTATCTACGATATGCAGACCTCTTCATTTTATCAGCTCATTTTCTCCATGGAGGACGTGTGATGAAATGAAAAGCGCCGTCTCTGATGCAGAAGCTCTAGAATCATCTCTGGTTATGGTTTCCGTCAGAGCAGAGAGATGTTTTCTTTTTTAAATCTTATAGTTTGCATGGTAACACTTTATTTTTCTGTGTAACTGATATGTGCTTCTCTAGTAGGAACCAACAACACAATCTCACGGCAATTCGTAACTTTTTCATTTAGTGGCTAATTCGTATGAATTCGTACGATCTAATTCTTACAATTTAGTACGATTTGCTTATCCCCCAATGACGGTTGGGGTTAGGGGTGGGGTCAGGTGCCACGCCTCCTTTTTAAAATCGTGCCATTTCGTACGACTGAAATCTTACGAATTCGTACGAATTAGCCACTAAACTGGCAAAACGTAAAATACTTACGTTTTCTCGTGAGATCAGGCAATGGCCATTAACCAGCAGCGCATTCGAGCTCTTAAGTGGCTGTTTAAAATACTTTGAATGTTTTATACTTTGTTACAGACATACAGTGTCATCCTGCAACTGTTCTGCAGCATATGAAATGTCCCAAACGCTATTTTTAACTGTTCAAAATGGACAGAAATGTTGTTTTTACTCTCTGATAGTCAAAACATGTAAAAAAAAAATTTAAATTCTATGTTAAACATGCATTAAAAAACAGTCAGGAAAAAGTGTTTTATGTCATTTGGGACCACAAGTCCACATGTATGGACATCATTTTTCTCTAAAAGTACATCATATCAAATGATGATACCTAGATTTTTATTCTAATTAGGTTGCAATAATCCCAAATAGCAAAGAGAAATAAAAAATGCATGTAACAAAAACACCTTGGGCCTTGCGCCCACTGAAGCTAAACAGGGCTGCGCTGGTCATACCTGGATGGGAGACCACATGGGAACGCTAGATTGCTGCCAGAAGTGGTGTTAGTGAGGCCAGCAGGGGGCGCTCAACCTGCGGTCTGTGTGAGTCCTAATGCCCCAGTATAGTGACGTGGACTCTATACTGCATCAGTCTTTTGGATGAGGCGTTAAACTGAGGTCCTGACTCTCTGTGGTCGTTAAAAAATCCCAGGATGTCCTTCAAAAAAAGAGTAGGGTTTAACCCTGGCATCCTAGTCAAATCTGCACTCTGGCCTCTGTCCATCATGGCCTCCTAATCATACCCATATCATAATCGGCTTCATCATGCTGTCTCCTCTACACCAATCAGCTAGTGTGGTGTGCGGTCTGGTGCTATATGGCTGCCGTCATGTCATCCAGGTGGATGCTGCACACTGGTGGTGGATGAGGAGTCCCCCCCCCCCCCATTGTGTAAAGCGCTTTGAGTACCCAGATAAGTGATATATTATTGTAAGGAACTATTATTAAGAGGTTAAAGACCATGCATGGGCTCTATTTTGATGATACATGAGCAAAG